GGAGAATGGAGTTCAAATAACCAAATGCATTGTTATTGTTATTTTTAATTGCTCTCTGCCATTTCTGCGAGTTTGATCAACTTTGATGTCCTTAACCTGGGTTAATTGTAACTGACCTCATATAAATTGCATTGAAAATGTCTGCTGCGGTGCCATGGATGATGATGCCTGAGTGCGTGAGTTGGTGATGCTGAGTGCATGCGATCGAGTATTGCATAAAGGGGAGAGAACAAACTGACTTTCTCTCTGGGATACCTGCCTGAGCGGCCGAGCTGCCCGTGGCTTCCAGGAATGCCCGTCGTCCCGGCCTGGTCCTGGGCAGCCCCAGCGTGAAAAATTGAAGTGTTGTGTAGAAATTAGAAACGCAATGCAAACAAGTTTTGGCTGACGGTCACCTCAGAATTTTCCTTGTTGAATCAAACCTAAAAAAGTAACATAAAAATCAAACTAAGGCATACAGCTGCATATCCCTTAAACCCTTAAAAAAAAAACTTCAATCCATTTGAATTTTGAACCACATTTATACCTCCCCTTCGTCCCCTCCCCTTTCGCCGCCACCCCAAACGAAAAATCTTAAAAAAGAGGAACCTAGATTCGGGCTGCTTTCATTGGGCACGGAAATGCCGAGGGAAAAAATAAAATAAAATAAAATCGGGGAGTGTTACATTTTGAAATGTCAGGGTTGACCCTGGCGGGAGATCCCCTGGGCGAGCTGCCTGGACGCCTAGCCAGCCACCCCAGGTAACTAAGCTCTCCGCTCTGATTGGGACATTGTGATTTGTTGGGTTGTGTGTTTACATGTGTCCTCACCTCAGGCTAGGAAGCAGCCTCAGCTGGTTGAAGATGTGAAGCTACTTGTTGGTGAGATGAGCACCATGACAGTTCTTTGGGATGAGCAGTGGCTGACAACTCTCCAGGACCTCTACGGGGATGTAATGAAACAGATTAATACTCTGAAGGAGGAAGCGGCTCGCATTGCGGAGAACGCTATGCTACGGCCGTCAGATAAGACACTGATCAACGCATCAAAGTATACTGCAATGATGACTCCAGTGGCGGTTGCTTTGGAACGAAGATTAGCTGCCACATCAAGGCCACCCGAGAGTCCGCATGAACGATGGTTTCAAGAGGCCTATGGAAGGCAATTGAGAGAGGCAATCAATGAATTCAGGCAGCCCCCGGCCACCCCTGCGCAGATTGGTGAAGTTTGGCGGCCATTTGAGGCGATTGTTAGTGCTCTTGCTCAGCAGTTGAAGCGATCGACTGTGAAGCTGCGTGACATTGCTCCCCGTCTTGTGCAAATGCAGGAATCCGTTGCACCGATGCCTGGACTGGAGGGGTCCACAGCGTACAAGGGGCATGGACCTGGGTATGGTTCCGACTCTGAAGAACCTGATGCTGGGAAACGCTGTGTGACCATAGTCGGGTTCGAGGAGGAGGTTGGGGTCTTGTCGACGAAGACGAAACCTAAGAAGCTAACTGTCATCGGCTCGGATGGCTGTCGGTATACATACCTGCTGAAGGGCAGGGAAGATCTGCGGCTGGATGCACGTATTATGCAGGTGCTGCGTGCAGTGAATGCAATGCTTGGGGCAAATCGGGCAACGCTTGGTCGAAAATTGAGTGCTCGATACTATTCGGTGACTCCTATTAGTGATCGTGCTGGTCTTATCCAATGGCTGGAAAATCTGACGTCTGTTTACAGCGTGTACAAGGCTTGGCAGCAGAGAAACCATGCATCCTCTTCAATGGCCGCCGGGATAGGGACACCTGCCCAAGCACCTGGACAACCGCCACCTGCACCTCCACCTCGTCCAAGTGACATGTTCTACGGGAAAATTATCCCGGCGCTAAAGGAGAAGGGGATCAGGCGTGTGATGTCCCGGAAAGACTGGCCTCAAGATGTCAAGTGCAAAGTCTTGATGGAGCTGATGAAAGAGACACCGCGGCAGCTCCTTGCACAAGAATTGTGGTGCTCAAGTGAGAGTGTAAATGCCTGGTGGAAGAAACAACAAGGGTATGTACTATGTAGTACTGTGTACCATGTATGCCTTCGTAGGTTTATTACACAGCTCCTTTTTTTTCTGTCACATGTGCAATCGGCAACTGCAAATTAATGTGGAAAATGGAGTGCTATTGTAAATTAGTCCTTGACTTGACGGGGAGGAAGACATTTATTGCAGTCATCTCGTTGGCCATCGAACCTCTTGTCAATCTGTACTTTATCAGCCACAGGACCTCCTCCATGCATGCACCGATTCGAACCGGCGCCCTCAGCCTCAAGAGCCGAGTCACTGAACCACTACAGCCATGGCACGGTGTACAAAAGTAGATTCATGTCGGTCATGATATCCACCCCACCCCTGCATGGCTGTAGTGTCCTTCAGCTCACACACATACACAAACACAAAACCATACAAGGCAGCCGCCAGACAGGTAGTAGTCTTACACTCCGCTCTCATCCAGCGCAACTGCTTATCCAATGGTTTCTCCACGGGGCACCACATCCAGGTATGATTTCTGGGCTGGTTACCCGGTTCAACTACAGTCTGTACTTTATCAGCCACAGTACCTCCACGGTACCTCCTCCGTGCACGCACGGATTTGAACCAGCGCCCTCAGCCTCAAGATCCGAGTCTGTTAACCACGGCAGCCATGGCACGGTGTACAAAAGTAGATCCATGCCGGTCGTGATATCCACCCCACCCTTGTCAAGTTTAGAATGCTCTTATTCCAGACTTTTTTTTAATGCCGATGCTGGTGTACTCCTGAGGAGATGAAAGACACGAACGCAATAACTGCTTCCCTGAGCTGTAACTTTGTTAAACAGGAGGCGGCGGAGGAGAAGGCAGTGGCTGCATGGGTGGTGGCAGTGACTGTGGAGGAGGAGCAGGTGTAGTAGTAGGAGTAGAAGTCGCTGCCACATGTTTCCTTCTGCAGTACCGTGAAGAGGGGAAAGCAGAAGGCATTGACGCTCTCACCAACACTTGGTGGTTCTCTATGCGTGCTGAAAGAGCTGGGATATGAGGACAAGGTCCCACTGGTGTGTTTTCCCTGCCAGGTTCATGCTCTCTAAGCTCGAACCTGTGCAATTTTTCCGTCCAGCTTCATACTTTCTAAGCATGAATCAGCACCGGTGGGGCCTGACCTTGAGTGTCAGGGTTCAGTGACTACTTGCCTCTGAGTTCATGGACCATGGAAATGAAGGACTGCATCCCATCTTATCTGAGTTTGCTCCTGCCGAGCCCAAGGGTGTCGATCTCCCTACCGGTAGTGGCTCTCCTAACCTGTGATTTTGAGAGAAATCCATTGGAGGGGGAACTCACTGTCTTCACTTGTTTCCTCTCTTCTCTTGTTTTTACTCTGCCCACCCTCACGGAGTACAAGTTTGAAGTGTATCTCGGCATGACGTCGGGTCCTAGCTAATATGCTGTACGAATCCTTCCGAAAAAGCGCATGAGATGCGCCGCAAGTATGATT